TCATAGATTACTGAGATTTAACATTATTCAGTGGAAAGTTCAGATAAAATTTCAGCAGTTAACTATGTTAAGTTTATGGCCTTATTGACCCTGCTTAATAAATTTGTAATTGTTATTTTCTTTATTTATATAAAATAGGATGCTTCCCCGATCACTACAATCCTGTCCTCCAAGTCTGGGGTCAACTGTTATCTTCTCCACATATCCCCATAAATTGCATCTCTTACTCTGTAACCCTCTACTTCGAGTGGCTCTTAGGCCTTGTACATTGGGAACATCATTGTAAAAGAATAAAAAAGCCATGCCTTTATATCTGCCATCAATAATAGGAAAGGTTTTATATCCTTGGTAATTTGTTTACCAGAATACTCATTCAAGATAAAATAGACATTATATTCACTGACATATATACCTACATGATATATGATAATTGTATTATGTAAATGAAAGGTTATATTTGTAGCATAAATTTAACTTTTATGAAATATTACAGAAACAGAGTAAAAAGATCATTAACAATTCACCTTATTTTGAGACTGCCTTAAACTAAAAAAGTTTAAGACATTAAGGGAAATCATAATAAAAGTAATACTTTAGTATTAATGATAGCAACATCCTTTTTCTCTGTTTCTAAATACTCTGGTAATATATACAGCAGTATCAAATATTTGCAGGATATTAACAATTATGGCATAATGCCATATTCACAAAGTGAGAAACTCTCAGATTTTCTTGATAAACACTTAATTGTGTATTCTGTCAAGACAATAGGATAAATAGTTATTTCCTTATAAACAATAAAGAAAAAATAAAGAAAGATATTGATGTAACTTTTTAAATGTAATTTTTATTATTGGCTTCAGTTTTGGTCTGTTTGGAATGTGCTTTGCATAACACAAAATTTAGGTTTGCATTAAAAAATGCTAATTTAAAATTTAAAAAAATTTTTTTGCAATATGACATTTTCTAGAGAACTATAATTTTTGTCTACTACAGACTATATGCATATAAAAAAAAATGTATAATTATTTTGTTTTTTTTTATTGCAACTGACACATTCGGGAAAAATTCCAGCTGTATAACATGATTTTAATAACTCGTTAATATATGCCTCAACCCCTTAAATAATCTTTTTGGATATCCTTTCCTTTGTGAAAGGATACTCAAAAAGGCAAGAAGGCAGATAGAATGGCGTGTAATTTTTGGTACTGAACAGTTAATGACTTCTTTTGAAAGAAATGTTTTTCGTGGCATTTAGAAAGTGACACAGACTTGTCATCATTTTCTATGGTTTTTGGGGTGGGGGTGGAGGGGGTGAACACTTTGTTGTTTGCATATTTCTGCTAATGACAATAGAATACTCATATGGCTATCCAAGCCTGTATACAGCAAGAAAAGAAGATCTCCTTGAATTTGCACCAAAAATGATTCCTTAAGGGTTTGAGACAAAGACATATCAAATTTTTACTATAAAATAATTTCTTGTGAAAATGAGTTAATTTAATCAAACATTTTATCATTTGGTAGTTGTCTTCAAATAAAATCCACTGTGACCACCCAATAAAAACTATAGCTATTAATACCTACCATGAAACTCTGCTATGACCATTATTAGAAGTATTAACAGGCTACAAATTCTAATCAGATTCCTTTTATTATTGTTCAGTTTAAAGGACCAAATCTCTTCTGTAGTATTTTTCTCCTTCTTTGACTTATAGACAAGATTCAACCAAATAATTATCACACTTACATATTCTTTTGACTCCACTAATTAATAATACAGATAAATTATGATTGTCACACAAGCATAATCTCCCCTTGTTTTTCAAGGAGGTGCTTTTAAAATTGGAACTTTTGGTTTCAATTTTTATTATTTTCTTTTCCTGAATCACTCATTAAATTTTCTTAATAAAAGTATTTTTAGTCATGAATTATTTTTATTAGTATTATATATAATACTTATAAAAATAATTCATGATAACAAAGTATATATATAATCTTAATATCAGGGTGTATAATTATATATAATCCTAACAGTATGGCTTTGATGATTGTACTTTAATAAATGATTTGGTTTTTAATATATGAAAAGCTATTTTAAGGAAATGACTCATTTTTATATGAAAAAGGCAGAAAGAATTATTGAATCTTGATATGAAGAATTTCTCTTTACTAAATTAACTTCAAGCAAATGTATAGCAACGGTATTTTCTTAGTTATAAAATTTAACTGATTTTTTTTAACTTATGATAGAAAACAAAACTATACTGATAAATATCTTTTTTTTTTGTAAATATTTAATTTATTCCTTACAGATTTCTACACTGTAGAAATACAAAAAGGAAAATATATTTAAGTTCATGCCATACCTAAAATTTTTAATGGTATTATATTAAATAAAAATATGATAACATTCATTGCTTTATGAGCAGACATTTTCCTTAAGTACTATTTACTTGTAATTCTATTGTGTGTGGCTTAAAATTTTACGTTATTATGATACGAAGAAATTCTTAATTTTTCTCTTTCCTTCCTAGTTTCTTTTTCTTTGAAAGTGACAATGGGAATGACAAATCTTCTTTTAGATTTGTTTCCTTTTCTCTAATTCTCTATCAGCACTGGTCTTTATTTAATGTATTTAAGTAACTGAAATGAAAAATATAGATAGAAATACCATCTGATCATTTGTTATTGACTCTTTACTTGAACTTATTGATTTTTAATGCTATTTTCAGTCTCAGGATTGGGAATATATATATATTTTTACTTTATGAGAGCATTTAAAATATAAATGCCAATATAGTTCTTAATATAAGCCTAACTCACGGACATAGCAAAGAAAAAATTGTAAGTTCTTTAAAAGGGATTATAAAGGAATAATTCTAATAGTTGTAATTACATTAGTGTAAAAGTAATTCTCATATTTGGATGCTAGACATTGTATCATTTAAGAGAAAAATATAGAGAAAATTCAAAGCCTTCTTTATATTTCAGAAAACAGTATATGAAAAGTAATATTTTCTTATAACAATTAACATAAAGGGATGGCATAAGGTTGTTTGGATGTATAACATTTATTCAAAAAGTATCATGTTATAACAAAATAAAAGTCAAATTATATAAAAATCTAATACTATTTAAAACTATTGTTTGACCAATACAAGGCTCAAGAACCATCCAAGTTAGAGGGTTGCTAATAAAGATTATTGTAAAGGTGTATACAGAAGGAGCAAGAGATGCATATTATGTAGGATAGATAATGATCAATTGTAGACTTTAAGAAGTTAAGATTGTAGTAACTGGGGAAGTGCAACTACCTCCTTACTAATGGAATATGCTGGGATTGAGGATGAGTATTGAGAAATAAAGCAACATAATCAACATCTCATAACATTAAATTATTTATAAAATGTAAAATGCTAGTTACAATCATTTTTCACATATAATAGAGACACTATAGGATTGATTCATTTATCTCTCTGATTGTCAGGATGTGCAGGTTGCATAGCAGTTATTGATGCCAAAAAAATGAAATCAGTGAGCTGAGTTGAAATTTGTTGCATTTACTTTCACACAAATATCCTTGGAAAAGATATTAATCCAACTCTTTTATCCAAGCTATGGTTTAAATACCAGAATGGCTCTTTAGATTTGGGTAGCATCTAATCTCAAAGAAAATTCTGAATTCAAAATCATGGAAAAACAACAGGAAACCACTTTTTTTATTTTTCCTGAGAAGTCATGGAAATTCACAGATAATAAAGAAAGGGAGGCTGTGGAGAGTCATGATCATCTATGTCCTGAAGGGACATGGTATTAAAAATGAAATAAAAAAAAACAAAAAACAATATTCATCTAGCAGTCCCCAAATATTTTGTTTAGTATTATTGCTATAATAGGAAGGTAAATTGGATATGCTTGCATTAAACAGAAAAAAGGTAAAAAAAAATATGAAAATATACAGAGTAAATCATTTGTATTTTTGTAAAAAAAAATTAAACAAACCAAATATCAGAATATAATCTAACTAATGGGCCATTGTTTTTTCCAAGCATATAAGTCTGGATAAAAAAAATAAAAGCTTACTGGTCATACTAAGTAATATCAACTATAATGATTAGTTTACTAAAAACTCTACAAAAAAGTAAATAGAATGAAATCTTATTTCAGAACAGCTACACATTTAAACTTACAATAACTGTGTTTCAAGTATAACAAGTTAAAAAGTCACTTATCTTAACACATCAACCAATACCTAGCCCCAGGAATTACAAAAAAATAATTTCCATATTTAAAGTGATATGATTAATAGGAAATAAATAGTAGTTAGTTGCCCAAAAGATTCTTTGACAGCATAATTTTTTTATATATATATATATATATAAGAGAGAGAGAGAGAGAGATAATATTAGTGGCAAATATACACATACATATGCAATCATATATCTAAAATATATATATATATATATATATATATATTTGTATAAAAGATAATTCCAAGAGGATAGAATCCAGGTAGAACTCAATGCCCAGGACAGAGTAAGGATAGTGTTTAAGCCTTTTTATTATATATATATATATATATATATATATATATATGTGTGTATGTATGTATGTAATGCATACATCATATATATATATATAATGCATGTGTGTGCTCATAATTTATGAAATTAACAAATCATGTTTTATTTTCTGGCATCACCTTATACAATGATAATGAATGATGAATTGATTTGTATTTTTTATGACTTATCAACCTTTTGCAGGTTACTTAAAACCAGGAATTATTTTTAGATTGTGAGAATATTTTTGGATATAATGATTTACTGATACAAGTTCTACTAATTAACCTATAGCTGGGGGAAGAAGAAGTGGATTAATCTCTTTCTCTAGGGTATTTGTGTGTAAGTAAATTTAACAAACATAACTGGAACTCAGATCTCTGATTTCTAATTCTGAGCTGTTATCCATTATACGACCTGCAGATTCAAGCTTCTAGCACTTGGTATTTCCAAGTGGTCACTCATCTCAGTACTATCCAGGCATGATGTTGCTTAACTTTGGTGATCGTACAAGACCTAGTATTTCAATGTGAAAAGGCCATAAGCAAACCAATGGTAGTGACCGCAAAAAACTAATTTCAGCAAAGTAATGAAAGTTATAAAAATTCGTATTTTAGCACATTGGCATTTATAAAGGCATTATCAGTGTATATATTTTATTTGGTGCTAACAAAATAAAATAGCATTATCACAATTATTTTATCAAAAAGGGATATCTCAACATCGCTAACAGATCACTGGAACAACTTAGCATCAGAAAAACATAACTTTTTATAACTGAATAAACATAATTTATTAAGGATTAAAACCTTAATTAGTGAATATTTTTCTTCAGTTAAGGCATTTGAAAAGGCATTATGTAAAATATGAACCAGTTTTTTGTTTTTAATTATTTTTAATAAAGTAATAAATTAATTATTTTTATAAAAATATTTTAGAATGTCAATTTAGTTTATTAAAAAATAAATCACATTACGATTAACTTTATTAAAAATAATTAAAAACAAATAACTGGTTATTAATTTATATAATGTCTTTTCAAATGCCTTATTTGAAGATAAATACTCACTAATTAAGGTTTTAATCCTTAATAAATTACTTCTATTCGGTTATAAAAAAAAAGTTATGTCTTTCTAATGCTGAGTTGTCTCAGTTCTAAGTTGTCCCGGCGCTTAGTCGGTGGTGTTGAGTTGTCCTGCACCCTTGTTTTACTAGATTGAAGATTATCTTTTTAATACCTTTTCTATTCCTAGTGAACTGTAAAATCTTTTTCTGAATTGCTCTAAATATTAAAAGTAATTTTTTTTTAATAATATATGAGTACAAGCATTCCCTCTTATTTCAGATGACAGGTAACATATTAGCAATGGAATTTGTAACATATTACCAATGGAATTTGTAATAGCTATGAACTATAAGTTATAATAAAGTAATAAAATCTTAATTTTGATTGGATAACAAAAAAGAATAATCTAAACAAAAAAGAGTTTCAAAAGAATTGTCACTGCATGCAACAGGTAGACTGGAAGAAACATTCTTCAAAGCCATGATTTCTAACCATTCCATAAAAGCAACAAGTGCTTCAATGCACTTCCCGCTACTACTATGACAGCAGCGACAATTTCTGTGTCTTTAAGAGGAAGGTTTGGGCAGGTAACAGCACTAAAGTAGGTTTCTTATTCTTCATGTTAATGAAATGCAGAACATTGTAAAAAAAAATAGTATGCATAATATACTGGTTAGTAATAATAACAAACTACTTCTAAGAATTTGGTAATTAAAAAATCTTTGAAAATATTAAGTACCATATTTTTTTCCTTTAAGAAGAGCATATAAAAGATTTACAATCTCAATATGAGAGAACCAGTTTTATTTAGAAATTATATACACATGAGAAGCCATATTTTGTTAAATAGTATTTTATCAGTATACTTTAAAATGTATTTAGGATAAATGTTTTTAATACATAACCCTTACATTGCTTTTTAATCCAAGATATCTAGATCTATCTATCATATATAATATAATTAAATACATTTTTGGTTACTGAAATTTTATTCCATCCATACCAATCCTATACTTGGGTATATATATGCATACATACATACATATAAGCAAGTTTCATTAAAAACGACTGGCAAGGTACTGCAATTAAGCTTTTTATTCAATAAATAAAAATAACAATGAATAAGATGCTTAATTGCAGTACTTTGTCAATCATTTTTAATGAAACTTGCATAAAAGAGGGATTACTGCCCAAATATACAATTTTATATATCTCAAAATAAAAGGAAAGTAAAGGGAGTTATGCCCCCTAGATCCTGTTTGAAATATCCGTTGAGTTTAGGGAGGGACAAGGACTGGGTAGATTATAGTTTTGCTTCAGCCTTTCTTATGAAATTGAATCATTTATCATGCTTAATTTGTTTCAAAAAGAGGAAATGTACAATTTAAATGATAGTTTTTTATTAAAAATTTCAGTAACCATCATTGTTTTCTCTATGTAAACATTGATTAGGTTTTATCTGCGGAAAAACTGAAAGAATGATTTATTCATAACTGTTTTTTTGCTCATAATTTGTAACTTCCAGCATGAAAAAGCAAACTTTTTCTTCTAAAATCTTTCAAAATACAAATATAGAATACCCAAAAGTTAGTTTTTTTATTTAGTATGAATTATTGTAAATTATTTTAAAAATTATATTTTATTATAGTCAATAATATTATAGTAATATAAAATGTATTAAGAGCTGCAAATATTTTAATCTATAAATTTATGTATCTTTATTTACTAAGCTTAGCTATCATAGAAGGTCACAAGTATTGTCACCTAGTGAGGATTGAACTCAATATTTTGTAGCAATGATCTAATCCTAGGTTAGTCTTTGTCACTTTCAATTTAGATACATTAATTATTATTGGTGATTAATTAATTGAAAATTCTTCTGTAATGTCTGGCTTAAGGCTATGTTCTTGAAGCCAAAAGAACTGATCAAACTGTCTTATTAGATCAATGGGATAACTCTTGCACTAGAATCAACTCAGGTGTTTAATTTCAAAATAAATTAGTAATCTATATCAATACTGTTAAACTAAAATAGACAATATTTTTTCATTATCTTTCTTTACCAGTTACTGCCTATTGTTTGGCCATTTCTTTTTTATACACGTGAATTTTAGTGGCAGATTAAATTAGATGGATTGAGACAAAACTGTTGCAAATAAAACTATTTTTTTCATTTAAGAAATTAATGTTTTATGGATCATAACTTACATTTTTGTTAAAAGAAATTAACATAAAAAGCTTTTATAATTTAATATATATATATATATATATATATATATTGAACAATAAAAAATATTAAAAAATTAAAATCTTTAGACATACTGGGTGGTAGAAGATTAATATTCTTTGTTTTTTTTTATTATTATTTCATTGAGATTCCTTGACTAGTTTCGGCCAAAATGGCCATCATCAGGAGAAGAAATATTTCTGCTTGCTGGTAGCAGTGAACTGCAGAAATGAATGTCTTGATGAAGAAAATGAACTTGTCTGTAGTTTTCATTTGTTTTTTTATCTTTTTAACATGAATCTTTTAACATTCCTTGTGTTGGTCAAACAGTCTCTTTTAAGTTGTTATTTGAGATAAGAGCTGGATGGATCTATATATATATATATATATATATATACACATATATGTAGTTTATATATTTACCTTTTCAATTTCTTTCTCATTTATAGCAAAAAGTAATAATTTTAAGTGATGAATAATATACAGCACTCAATAACTTATTAAAAATTGACTTACCTCTTAAATATTAGTTTTAAATAAGTGTCCCATTATGAAAAAGACAAAATATAATGCTTTGGTAAATTCATTTTGGGACTTCGAAATTTGTTGTATACTGTTTAATTCATAGAGGTGGAATGGCTGTATGTTTTATATGCTGGTATTTTTAATTAAACATGAAAAAACTTCAGCTTTTGGAATATTGTAAATGTCAATCTAATTATGTGGGTTGTGCCTTGCATGAAGAAAAAGCAGATATTAAAAACCCAATATGAAACCCAATATGGATGCAATAAATAAACAGAGGAACAAAATTTGTTCTGATACTAATAAACAACGTATATACCAGTTTTTAAAATTAGCAAAATATGGATATGTGATGATGTATGCATGAAATAATGTACTTAGTGTCATTCATACAAGACTCATTAACTTATGACTGAATTGTACTGAAATGTAAAATATTATTATTGTGCTTTTTTATGCTTTTTTATATAGTACAGAACCACAGAATGTATTCAACAGTTTTTGTTTTTTTTTTCACACAGAACTACAGTAAATATTCAATGATTTTTTTTAATACTTTTATATAGTACAGAACTAGAGCCAATTATTTTTAAATACTTTTATATACTACAGAACTACAGCTGTTGATTTTTTAAATAATTTTTATATAGTAGCAAACTACAGTCAATAATTTTTTAATAATTTTTATATAGTACAGAACTACAGTCAATAATTTTTTAATAATTTTTATATAGTACAGAACTACAATGATTTTTTAATATAGTACAGAAATATGGCAAATATTCAATAATTTTTTATGCTTATTTAATGCTAGAAAGTAAAAAATTGCCTATGATTAAATTTTCCATCATTAAAATAGAAAAAATTAACTTAAAGTTGGATATCAAAATAAAAAAATATACTGAGATTACTGATTGGCTGAAATGTTGAAAATTATATATTTATGTATTGTTTTTGGGATAATCAATCATAATTATATTTGTCCATAATTCATCATTTGTCTTTAATGTTAAGAACTAGATTTTTCCCTGCATTACAAAAACTGTCACAAAGTGTTTGTAAATGTGTGAGTGTACTGGTCACTGTTTCCCAAGGAAATGATATGATAATTATACAAAGATTCACCAGGAAAATGTTCCTCAGATTTGCTTTAAAACTGCATGGACCTGTTGATTTCAAAACATAAAATAATGATATTCACATCTAAAATAGGTGTGTTTTATATTGGACTTATTTCTAAGAGAGATATAAGAAATAAAAGGTAAAAATGATTTCACAGTAGCCATTATGTTTGGATATTTAATACATCAAACAATCCAAAATATTTTTCAAGAAAACATTCTGACATTTAAGGAATTTATTGAAATATATTATAATTTAATAATTTAGTTAAATACAGAAAGTATATGAACTACATAATAGCATTTTGATAAGAGGCAATGAAAAAAAAAATGATTAAAAATCTTTTTCACAGAAATGAACTCTAGAAATGCAACAAGCAGACAGCAACCTGTTGAATGCTGGCTTCCAGTTATAGTTTTATTAAAGTTAGTTTCAAACCAGTTATGTTTTATTAAGGATGACAATGAAAATAAAAGGTGTATAGTGTCCTCATTAAAAGAAAAAAATACACTTTACACAGCTGTAGTTGCTTGGACTAAACAGAACATTGAAAATTCAGTAGACTATTTGAGTTGCTCTCTTTTACAGGCTCCGCCCACT